GTTGAGAAAGAGTAAATCACAAAATAAGCAAAGAGTTCAAATGCCATATTTGGTAATAAGAACCGAAATGATGGGGACCTCAGCTGACAGCTCCACTACCTTGTGACCTGGGTTCCCGTATGGAAAAGGGGGGAAATGGCTAACCTTTTTGAACTTCACAGAAAAAAACAAATCTCCTTAGAAGAGAAAGAGAACTTTCATCTCTTAGGGGTGCCAATATCTGGAATAGACAACTAAGAGGGTACTAGTACTGAAATTATGAAGGCTTCAAAAAAAATCTTTTTGCTCCTGTAATCAAGAGGAAAAATGAAGAGACCAAACTGGAAGCAATGTGTCTGTCTTGTTCACCACCTCAACCTCAGAACCTCTCTCATTGCCTCTCTCCTGGCCCCTGTTTGCTCTCTCACCCCTACCTCAGGAAATAATCATTTGTTTCTCCAACGGCTCAGTATTTCTGTTTGCTTCTCTAAGAGAATTCAGGGCATTCTAATTCCTTATTATGGTGTGTAGAGGTAGGGCTTACAAAACATTTTTGTTGAACTGCTCAATTATTTAAAATTATTAGGGGTTGGCCCAGTGGCACAGTGGTTAAGTTCACATGCTCTGCTTTGGTGGCCCAGGGTTCACGGGTTTGGATCCCAGGCACCAACCTACAAACCGCTCATCAGGCCAAGCTGTGGTGGCATCCCACATACAAAATAGAGGAAGATTGGCACAAATGGTAGCTCAGGGCCAATCTTCCCCACCAAAAAGAAAAAAAGGAAAAAAATTATTATATTACATCTTTAAAAATTATCATACTTTATAACTTTAACTTGTCACATATTATAACATCCTCTGTAGGAATTTTAAGTAATCAGTGGTTTACAAGGTTTTCAGAAGTGTCTTGTTTTCTGTGGAGCAACTTGTTATTTTGTTGCCTTTTTTAAAAGTAATAAAATAAGGAAGCATGCACAAGAAGGACACATAATGCCAAATGTCTTTTATTCCCCAAGGATTGCAGAAGAGATTTCAATATTTCTTCCTTATTTACCACACGATTAAACATCTCAGTCCTGCAGCCACCATCAGCAGTAAATTCTAACTCCAAGTGATTTACTGAGCCTAAAAGCTCAACTCTACCTTAAATTTCCCTTTCTCAGTTGAGAACACAAAACAATTTTGCCAACATACAGAGTGCCTGGCTAGTTGTGATTAGGAGGTAGGAAATTTAAAAACCTGTGAGCCCTTAAAAGGAAAAGGCTTAAATAATCATTTCCACCTTTCAATCTCCTGCTTCAGCCCTCTTTTGAGGGGGTGCAGGAAGGTTGTCTATTTATTTGGTTCATCAGTATTGTGGTTTTAATTCTCTTTTACAACTTGAAAAAGCTACTGTGCTTCTGAAACTTCTGGTCAGGGGCTTTTTGTCCCTAGAGTTTCAAAACTTAGGGCAAATGGTTTTCTCCAACCCTGCTTAACTCAAATATGAAACAGGAAACTGTGATGTCGTGTCTAGCAAACCATCAAAAGCACTCTGTTTAAAACAGAGAAATTAAGTGAGCTCATTGCTGCTTTCAAATACCTTAATTTTTGGCATAACACTTACCTATCTAGGAGTCATTGTAAAAGGTTAATTAAATAAAATCAAAATAGGGTCGTCACTTGTTCCTAAGTGCATCGGTTGTTTTAGCAAATGAGTTCTTTCATCGGAAAAGATGAAAGATGTCAGCGTCCTAGCATAAGACTGATGGACACTGAAGAAGTAACTTTGCTTACAACTCAAACAGTTCCTTTAATCCGTGGAACAAAACAAAAACAGAATTTGAGCATTCTAATCATATCATTGTAACAGCACTATTTCAATATCGGTAGCTGTGGATGGACGCGTAGCTATCACGACTGCATGCAACTGAGCAGCCATGGAGAGCACTTAAGAAAAACAAAATATTTCTCTAAGGCTTTGGCATGATAAACATACAAGTTCGCTATCTAAACATTAAGTCATATTTTAAATAGATACTTTAAGTAATCACTTCCTGTACAACTGGAATGAAATATACACTGATTTTAATGACAGTGATAATAAAGTCGGTTATGTGATTCCAAGCCAGTCACCGTGGGGAAAATAATGAGCATTAGTTTTCAGAGACAAAGTTTCTTAAGGGAAATTATGAGCACTATTAATGTGGTTAACATAAAAAAGTAGGGGTGGGGGCGTGGAAAGAAGGAATAACCACCTGGCTCTCACAGCAAAAGCCAGGTTGACATTTTTTTAAAGTCTTTTCTTTACAAGATTATTTTGCTGTAATTATTGCCAATATCAAATAATTACAGTGTCAATAAAAATCATATATTCTTGCCACTGAGCCTTCATGCTTTCACTGGCGATCCCAATTTTCTTAGTTCTCATTTGCTGATCAAGTGTCTGAATTTTCCTCCCATAAATGTGCTCAGCAGGGTAAGTCCTGGAAAGCTGATTAGGACAAGCTGAGGTCTTCTCCTTCTCAACTTTCTGAAAAGAGCTCCATTTTATTAAGAAGACAGAAAGGAGGGAAGTAAATGAAATAAAATACAAATTCTGGTTCTTTTGAGAGTGACTGTTTTCTGCATGATCAATCTGGTCTGGACCATATTTTGGAACCCATATCTCTTTTCTAAAAGATTCGGTGAGTAATAGAAGGTAATAGAGGGAGAATAAAAGCAGAGCAGGGTTTCTACTTCTAAATTTTTATTTTAGAAGGTAAAGAAACCAGGAGCTAGGTAAAGAAAGTATCCCTCTGACTAAAAAATGGGTAGCAGAGAGATGTGTGATTTTTATTTTCTTCCTTATACTTTCCTAAATTTTCAAAAACAATGTTACAATAAACACGTTACTTTTATCAGCAGAAAAGAGGATTTAAGCGCTTTCTTACTTCCGGTGGCCAGGTCAGCCTCCTGATCCAGCTCTTAGTGGAGATCAAGGGCTTATGCTTGTTCCTTAAAACCACACAGCTGGCACGGCGCGCAACACGTTCTGGTCGTTCAGCAAGTCTGGGCTGACGAATTAATTGATGTAGGGCTCTTTCACCTTTGTACACCTCTGTACTTAAAACGCTGTTCTCGAGGGTGTCTAAACACACTTAGAAAGAGCTGCTCTGGTTTTAAATGATATATAAATTCTCTACTAAAGCAACTGCTCTAGATTCATCATCTCTTAAGAGCAGATGAGTAAGGTGACATTTTCATGTTGCTAGTTAGAAGTGGCTTGGAACAAAAAGCTGCTAACTTTTGGTTTAGAGTTATGTTCACTCTAAAAATAAGTTACCAGGGGATCTCAGACATGACCTAGTCTTTAGATTTTTTTATCGAGAGAGCGGACTACACATTACAAGGGTAGATGTGAAGTTTAAGTACTAAAATTGAGATTACTTTTTTTCAGAAAAGAACCCTCCACCTCTTCTGGCTACAGTGCTGGGAGAGAGACTGCCATAATCTCCTTGAGGACAAAGCCTCCACCATCTTTCTCTGCTTGGTCTTTGGCCAGTATGTGGGGCAAGGTAGGTCCTTTATAGCTGTTGAAGATTGAATACATCAATTAGTCTGTCAGCACAGCTACAAACCCACTTTGTCATGAAGTGGACATAATATGTTTCAGGGAGAAGGGTTGTCTAAAAAATATTATTTATTCAGAGTAGAGTATTGAAATAAAAACCCCATCACTATACACTAAGAGGGCAAGAATGCACTGTTTTCTACGCATTAGGTATCTAAGACCATTTCATAAGGATATTTGTGGCTAATGACTACATGTGATGTCAAACAAAAATTTCTTAAGCTGGCATTATTTTAACCCACAGGTGGATTCTAGCATTGAATTTCTAGAACATAAAAAATTGTCTTGAGTAACTATCAACAAGTTACGAAAATTATCCACCCCGTAAAACAGACATAGATAAAGTAAATGCACCTTAAAGTGACAGTTTCTCCAGCATTTCTTGGTTACTCTTCAGTGTTTTAACAATATTCTTTTTTCTCCTACTTTTTAAAAGTTTTGTGCTCAGTCATATATGTGACCCAGATATTCAACACCACCTTGCTAATGCTAAGACAGCTATTGTATCCGTAAAACCACTGCACAGTGTCTAAATCAGGAGCTGAATATGTTCTTCTACCTTTTATCGGCTCTAAAAAATGCAAAGCAAACATTATCTATTGTTAATTACCTGTAAAGTAGGGCTTTAGCCACTTCCCCTGTTTCTAAGAGCCCTGAAGTGAAACCTCTAAAAGAAGTCACCCATTGTTTTCAATTGTGCAAGGGCCAGGAGCAAACAGGGCTCAAATTGCAGCTCTGAAAGGCCACAGGAAATTGGCATACCACTAATCTGCACTCAACTATTCAAGGAAACAAAGCCCGCATTCCTGCTGAAAAACTCACCAGTAGAAACCCAAGGCAGATCTGTTCAGTAAGGACCGCAGAATAAATCTGCAGAAATAAAAGTTTTAATTAGAGTGCCATGAGACCTGGCTCTAGTTTCCTAGCTCTGAGAGTAACATGCATCATTTAGATTTCTACCTAGTCTTCCCAATTTTCCTCAAAATGAGACTATATAATTAGAATCCTTCCACTTAATAATTTGAGCAGGGACGGGCTTGGAGGGGACGATATAGTAAGAGGGCAACTGTTCCTACAGAAAGCTGAGTTATGATAAACTCGTGTACTAAAATCCTAAAAATCCAAGGTAATTTCAATTTGCTTTTGTGTATTTAGCCTAAATGCAACAACATTGTTTCTAAACCCTAGGAATGGAATGCAATTAAGAAATTGGCTAGATTATCTTTGACACAGAACAGCACGATTTAAAATGAAACTTCCTATAAAATTCAAGTATGAAAATAGAGATGATTTTTTCAATTGGATCCTCCATCGTAGCAAAAGTCATGGGCAAAACACTGACGCCTCATCCGCTGGTGGGACATACCCACTTGTTCTTACGTAGTGAGCATCGAAAAGACAGCAGAATGAACTGACAGAGTCAGGGAAGTTAGATTCTAGTCTCAACTTTATTAATAAATGGGAAAATCGTATTTTCTCACTGGGTCAAACTTCCTTATCTATAAAATTAGACTAAAAATTTGGCCTCTCCTGAACTCACAAGTTTGTTGAAATACCAAAATTGTATAAACGTAGATACTTACAATCATGTTTTGGGCAATATACAAGTTGAGATATTACTGTATTTACTAACAATAATGCTTTGATTTGAATGACAACTTATATTACATAATATTATCATAGATCTATCCAAAGAGCATTCAAAAGCATTTATGGCCATTGTACATTTGAAAAAAAGGACATTTTGAAGAGTTTCACACCTATGCCAAGTTCAGCAAGAAGAGTAAACAATAGTTTGGTATCCAGGAGAAAGAGCATTAGCACCTAAGAAGCTGAGAAGGGCTGTGGCATTCGCCAAGATTCTCAAGTCAACTCAATATTAGTTGCTCTTAAGGATACTTTTGACTCTTAATGGAAAAGACCAAGGGGTTTGCATTATGAATAACTAAGAACTGATTAGTAAAATGAAGTGGTAGATAATTCCAGGCACTTCCATGTCAGGCCTATTTGGGATGTTATAGAGAGGATCCATTACTATGGTGAATGAAAGGTAAGACCATTAAATGACCTATAATGCTTGTCTCTTCTTGTGCCAAAATTTCACTGCCCCGATTCTTAAAACTATTCTCTTCTGGAAACTTTAACATGATCAATGACATTACCAGAATTGTCTACAGCAAATAATTACATAATTTTTTTGGAACTCTATTGACTAGTATAGACAAGACTAAAATGATTTAAAGCAGGTTACAGATCATACCAGAATATGTATTTTATTAATATAGTAAATGCCATCCTGGTGAGGAAAAAACAAGAGCCAAATATGGGTTTTTACGACTCAACTGTAAAATGCAGGAAAAAAATCAATAAATATTTATCGGTGCCTACTATGGGCAAAGCACCTTTGGGTACAGGTAAGTCTACAACATAATCTCAATCTCAAAGAAGTACAATATAAAAGGAGAGACAAGACATAAACTTTGAAGAGTGGCATTAAATGTCACCCCAAAATATTCCACTTCAGCATAAAGATTATTTTGGGGTAAAGGCGTAAAAAAACAGCAGGTGAAAGAAGGGCACTCTGATCTCTCTTCTTCTTCCTGAAAGCAGGAGATAAAACTCTTATGTGAAAGATGCTCTCCTAGTACCAGAAGGAAAGGAAAATTCTTAATACCAGAGATGGCTAGTGGAGGCCAAGAGAAATCTGTACAAACCAACCTTGTTAAAGTAACTCCTAACTTCCTTTAGTCTCTCCATATATTTTACCTTCTTTTCCACAGTTGTCTCTCTTTGTTCAACCTAGTATATAAACACAGGCCTAGCCACTTCTTTGGGTGTTCACTTTCCTAGAGGGGCTCCCAGGCACCTGTAAAAATCTGCATGCTCTTCTCCTGTTAATCTGTTTTATGCCCATTTAATTCTCAGGCCCAGCTGGAGACCTGAAGAGGGTAAAGTTTTGCCTCCTCTACAACATTAAAGGGTAAACATTAAAATTAATGAGCAGTTTACACAATGCTCTTACTGAGGAATTTCTAGGAAAGATTATTTTGGCCTGATCCAATCAGAGAAGGTGGATTTAAACCTAGCCATAAAAGAATAGGATTAAAAAGGAAAGGCAGTCCCCGAGGTCAGGATTTGAAGGTATATTTCAGGGAACAGAGAGTGAACCAATCCCACTGGATAGAAGATTTATGTAGCAGAAAAGCAGGAGAGAAGGGTGAAAGGGCAGGCTGGGAGTCTGAAAGCACAGCCATGCATACCTAGTGCTGAGTTTTAACTTAATCCCATAGTTCATGTAAAGAGTGACTGCAGGAAAAGAAGACAGGGCAAGAGGGAGAGAGAAAACTTGAGGCTTCAAAAAGACATACGGTCTGATCAACTGGAAAAGATTAATTTTTAATATAGTTATTTGTTATGCAGTCATGCTGTAGGCCAGTAACATCATATGATAAATGACACAAATGTTTCCAAGTGTAAATCATCATATTCCAGCTAGGCAGCCACCAGCAGACACACATTTTCCATTGGGTCAAAAGGACCCAAAATTTTATTTGCACACAAAAATACAGTCCTGTGTTTTTTCCCCTTGAGAAACTGTCCCATAGGTAACATTTGAATGGCCCCCATCGTGAAATCACCGCCCTCTGCTCCGTGCAGGCTGCGGCTGGGTTAGTCATTTGTTGTGCCATAGGAAGGAGGTGACAGTTACTGCCTAGATACGTTTGTAGGGCATAACCTCAAAGGGACTTCCTCACACTCTATAGTAGAAAGGAATAAATGTTTGTTTTGAAAGATAAGCATGGGTAAGTAGGAAAAAATGCTCAAGGGCAAATACTTTTGAAAAAAATGCTTTATGAAAGAATGTTGGGTTTTGTTTTTTTCAAGAAAGGCAAGTTCAAGCAGACCATTTTTTTTTCAAGAGTACTGCCTGCTTTTCTTCTTTCCAAAATTTGCAAGATTTTACAATCCATACAAAGCATATTTCCCCTAAGGATTAAGAAACTCCCCCGCCCCCCCAATTAAAATTTTTACCTGAGAAATTAAGGGACTACATAGTACCTATTTCAGGGCTGAGGAGAAAAAAAAAGTCCCATTATCTACATAGGACTCGGAGAAATGTGGACTTTCACATGACATTTTCTTTTACTAAACTTTTGAAATCAAGCAATGCCAGCTTCCCTTAAATTCAAGTAATTCTGCTTTATAACAATCACTTCTCAAAAAAGTATTTCCAAGTCTCTACATGTGCCACATACCACCTATAAAATGGAGAAAAATTGTAACTCCAATACTATCATTTACAAGCATTTCAAACCACAAGAAAAAAACGACCAATTCCAATCCCCAAATCCTTTTGTCCTTCATTTTGTATGGCTTCTGCAAGAATCTGGATTTTACTGCGTCCACCTATTATTATGATGGACTCTAACTAGGAAATGTAAATTAAACTCCTCTCAGTCTTCACGTATAGACAAGGTCTCCATAATGGAATAGTCCAGGCCTTTTACAAGGAGTTTTCTTATCTTTTTCTCCTTCAGCTGGTTCTCTTTCCTATTAGCTGTTTATCCTTCAGCAAATCATTTCATCTCTCTGGGGTTCAACTTTCTTTACTTTAAAATGAAGGAAAGGAACCAAGCATTGTCTAAGGTCCTTCTCAGTTTGATTTTGAGTGGCTTCAAACTATTCTATAACCCTCGTTCTCAGTCACCTAATATACACATTCCCCAACCACGCTCTTTCCTTTCTCCATCATCACTACCATTTCTCACTTTGACAGACAGACAGAGAAAAATACAGAGAATAAGGAAAACCATGATACTGAAGTCGCAAACATGTTTTAGATACTCCACTGATTTGAAATGTCATGCCTGGGGCAGGGGGTGGGGGTGGGGAACAGGGTACATAGGAAGAGTAGGGAGATTGTTTTCAGCCAATCAGGAGAAATGGTTGGCTTGCTGAATTTCCTAGTGCTGGAATTTGGTATGTATCAGTCAGATACATAATTCACTTTTCTGAGTGATATACAATGAACTCTGTCTGGGGAACTGGGGTGGAATAAAGAATTAATAATTTAGTTTCTGTTTGATTTTCAAAGGCTTTGATTCTCTCCTCTGCCTTCTTGCTTCCTGCCTTCGGTCCACTTCATTACTCATTAACTGTTCTGGGAGATATGTGGTCTAGGGGGAAAAAAAAGTCTAAATCTGCAGAATTAGTAGAATGTTCAGTGTGGAAAATTTTGGTCTCCTTATACACTTGATTTATACAAATGTTCTCTTTGCCTTGTATCACCAAAGATGAGCTGATCCAGCACTGGGTCACCTAGATTCCTCCCCCCTCATCTTGCCAACCAACCATCTCACACCCATCCCTTTCTCTCAGTCTCCATTGCCCAAGGTACACTAACCACTTTGGCCACCGTATTAACTATCTAGCTGGTCTACTTCTTCCTCTCGTCTACCCTCCAGTGCTGCCTGAAGAGTGTTTCTGAAGCTCTGGTCACGTCACTCTCCTGTTTATAATCTGCTCTGTTTTCGACTCTCTATCACCCACAGGATAGAGCTCCAACTTTTTTACATGACATTCACACTTTCCATCACTGGCTCCTATCCTTCCCACAGGCCCCTTACATTCCAAACATACTAAATTACTTGCAATTTTCCCATCATGCCATGATCCTTCCCACTAATATGCCTTTGTGCTTGTCTGAAATGCTTTTTTCTCCCTTGTCTACCTGATAAATTACTACTCATCTTTCATGTCTTCTCTGTGGAGCCTTCCCTGACTTGCAAAGACAGATGTGGTTGCCTCCTACCAGAGTGTTTCCATGGCCCCCAGGTACCAACTCATATAATAGCACCAATCACAGTGCTAAAAACTTTTGAATTACTAGTCAAAGACTGGGATCCTTAGCACCTAAGATATTGTCATTGAATACATGATTAAATGGTTGACAGAGCCAAGCAATTCTTATTTTCTCTCAAAATTTCCAGTATTGTTGACTTTAGAAACAGTATCAAAAACCCTGCAAAAACAAAAGTTCAGTTTGGTCACTAACCTCAGTATCTTTCCTTACTCTGAATCATGTAAGAATAAATCTAGCAAGGCAATCAACAAGAAATATTTATTGAGGTCCTACTCTGGTGGAACAAGCACTGTTCTAGGTATCAGAGAGCAAGAAGTTAAACTGATAAATTTTGGTTTCATCTTCATTTTCTGTTATCTTCCCTAACTGAATTGTGTTTCTGGTACTACAGCGCAAAAGCCAAAGATGACCAAAGGCAGATGCAAAGAGGAAATTATAAGTAATTCCAAGAGTAGATTTGTAAACCACAAAGTAACCAGTTAGAACTCCACAGACTCTGTAAATAACTCCGACACCAGAAGCTCTCTTTATAAAGATAGACCTCTCTACATTTGGAGTAGAAGGCAGATTCTGGGTGGCCCAGAAGAATAAAATGTACTTCTGTTAAGGAATCAAATTTACTCATAGCTTCTACTGCAAATCGGCAACATGCAAACTCTGTGAAACAGACAGGACTAAGATCTTGGACCCAATCCTTTTGCTTTCTGAAGAGCCTCATGTGCACAAAAGCTTAAAGAAGGGAATGTGACAAGCAGAAAGGTCTCTGGCACTGTGTATTATTTTGATTGAATTGACTGGTCAATCAATTTTCATGAAGATACTTTATTCAATAACAGATTTTGTTAACAGACCATTTTGTGCTATAAATGGAGCACATCCCATTCGAAATAAATTCTCCTCCACTAGTTCATTCCTTATTAAGAAATCTTACATTTCTACTACATCTTAATTACTTAATTTATAATCCATTAGCTTAAAAACAAGTTAAAGTGTCTAAAAACATCCTTTCCAAATATAAACACCAGCCTCTAAATTTTCCTCTCCACCTCTCCCTCTGGCACTTTACTATCTAAATTAACAACTCTTCAAACACATTGGCCTCTACTTTTCTCCTTCTCTTCATCCTTAGCTCCAAAAATCTCCTCTCTACCTCAGCTACCCCTCCACACAGAGAAACCCCAGATTTCTTCAGCATTTAAAAATGGCCCGGCTTCTAAGATCAGGACTTGAAAATTCTCCTGTCTTCTAGCTGTCTCCCTTTCCTATTTCTGTACACTCTGCAAACCGGCATTTCACCCTCACTGGAACCTCCATCCAATTCTTCCGGCCTGTCATTTCAACAAATACTCAGACTACTGCCCTAAAACGTCTGACCTTTCTGAAATTCATCATTTGTTATTGGTCCCAGGTAACGCTTATTCTCTGCCTTCACTGTCCTTCTGGCCTGCTGCAAGGAACGTCTAGATAAAATCTGAAAATTGTTGAATGGTCCACAAAAAAAAATTCCCCGTTCAACGTGAGCTGAGCTCCCTGCACTGCTCTTCACGTCATCAGCTCTCGACTACAGGTTAGCATCCCCATATCTAGCCATTCCAGACTTCTGCGCTCCAGAACCAGGTTCAGTTCCTAAACCATCAACAGCGATCCATCAACAGAATGCCACCCTCTGCTTACCAAAATCAGGGCGCATTTGTACAACTTCTCTCTTCTCCTTCTTAAAATTCCATTATATCTTTTTCTTCCTTCTCCTCTTTTATTCTTTATTCTGGGAGAAGAACCCTTCTTGCCAAGGTCTACATGCCCCATTTAGCGCTCTCTCTACTATCTCCCTCTTCCCTCCTCTGGAATCATGTTCCTGTAGCTTTTCCTCTGCCCCATCTCTCTTTCTTAACTGCCCTTGCTCTCTTCCCACAAAAGTGGTCACGTTTCTGTTATCATAAAAATCCTCCTCAGCTGTTGCCTGCCTCTAGTTACTTTCCTATCATCTCAAAATTTCTAGAATACATAGTTTAAAGCTGTTACCTGCATGTACTCCCCACCCACCCATTTCCTAATCCCATGCAATCTGGTTTTTATTACCACACTTTAACCTAAATACCACCCACCAAATTTAGTCGGGAGTCTCCACAGCTTTTGACATTTAATTACTGATTTCCATCTTGAATGTCTCCTCTAGCTTCGAAACCAGACCAATCTCTTGGTGCCTATGCTTCTTTGACCACCTCTCTTATCTATTTGCTCTGTATCCTCCCTCGGCCCTCTAAATGCAGGTACATGTGTTCACGGTTTTGTCCTTAGCCTGCTTGTAATCCCATTCTTGCCCTTAGGGATCTATGCTACAGATTCCCTGTCACCTCCACGTGGACGACAGGGCTTCACTTACCTCTCTTAAACTCTACACTTTTTTCCCAATGACCTGCCTGCCACTCACTTGCACTTCAAGATATTTTCCCCGTAGAACTCCTAACTCTTCCCATCCCACATACCTCCTAAACTAATTCCACCCATTTCTTTTAACAGAACTACCATTTGCCTGTTCACGTTGGTCCAAAACCTCAGTACCATTTTTAGTTCTTTCCATCTCAAACCCACATACGAAAACTGCAAAGTCCTATAGATTGGCCATTTGCAGTATTTCTCACATCACCCCCTTCTCTCCATTCCTACTAACCTCCAAGCTAGTTCCAAACCTTAATACTTCCGGCTTTCTTTTCCCAAATTGGCCTCCTCTGTACCTTACTATCTGCCATTTTAACCTCCCACAGTTCCCCTACACATACCTCCAGTCCAACTCAAAGGCTCCTGACTGTGCTTGTGCCTTAGAATCATCCGGGGTGCTTTTAAGACAAACCAAAGCCAAAACCCCACCCCTAGAGTTTCTGATCTTACTGGCCTGGGCGGGGTCTACACACAGGCTAGTTTGTTGTTGTTGTTTACTCTCAGGTGATCTTAATGTACAGCTAACATTGAGAACCACTGCTAGCCAAACTGAACTCAGTGTTCTCAAACACAAACCTTGTTTTCTTACATCAAGTTTATTCAGCTAGTTTTGTTTGACTCCCTTCTTCTGGCACTTATTTCTCCACCCGGGACTACCATTAGTCCGCTGTACTTTAACAAATTTGCTCCTAACCTAAAACTTTCTTTCAAACCATCCTCCCCCCACAACCAACCTCTCTTCCTTCCAACCATTTACTACATGTACATATACAGCGAGTTGTTTTTTATAAAGTTTATTTTATTTTGGCAAATGGATCATGACTTCCGGTAACTCACTCTCTGAACCTGGCTTTCTCATCTCTAAATTAAAGAAGATGGATGAGTGACCTCAAGTTTCTTTCTAGCACCAAAATTATGATTCTATGATTATTTTATCAAAACATGCTCTCGGACTACTGGTGAATGATGGAAGCTTCTAGTATAAATTCTCAAATTACCTAGTTCAGAACAGTTCTAGGTTCTCTGATGGTTTTTGCAATTACAATTATTACCACATCTAACATGATTCAACTATCTGACAGATAACACCAATCTTGTTTAATAGTTCAAAATAGAATATTTAAATCTGCTTTTTAATCACTGTACTCCTAATGAAACCAGAATAATGTTAAGAAGGACCATCACACAAGTTCTTAAATCTAGATGCCAAGTTACTATTACCTTTTACAAATTGATTCAATCAATTTGCTCTATTATTAACACAGAAACCTGGCCAGAGGAAGCACACATGTTCAGTTTTCAAATGAAGTTAACTTTAATATTAGCATATGAAAAATAATCATGGCAATGAAGTCATTTGCAACTTATTCCTGATAGCTAAGTGCAAATAATGTATGCCGAAAAACAGTCCATTTCCTAAATTATGGTCAAATGTATTAATTATAAAGGAAAAACTTTCTGGTGAAGAGAATGGAATGGAAAGGCAAATGTGCAGCATAAAGCTACTGGGCTCGCTGCCGGAAAATCCTGTGTGGGAGGGAAGAGTCCTGGCTCTACTCTAGCTCTCTCGAACACTTCACCTTCTCAAACTATGTCTTTGTTTCTACATCCTCAAAATGAAGACATCGAGCTAAAAAAGCAGTTCCAAAATTGCCTGATAACATCGCCCAAGAAGCCTTTTAAAAATACAGAATACCAAGCTCCTCCCCTGGAGATCCTTCTGATATAATAGGTCTGAGCTATGACACAGACTTCTGAATTTTTAACCTAACTAGTGACCTTGTTTTTTTCATATATGGTTGAAAAACATTAAGCAAGATATACTCTGAGATCTGGCTCTAGCATTCTGCATACAGAATAATGTACATAGTAGGTATTCAATAAATGGAGCAAAATGGCCTGGTAATAGTCTGAGAGAATATTAGAAGAGTTAATAACATGTCAATTAAGTACATGGCTATTTGGATTCTATCTAATCAGCGAAATAATGGAAAAAAAAGTCTTCAACTGGCAACTGACCAAAAGGAGGATTTAAAGTTTGTTTTTAAGATGTTTAAAGACACCAAACTCTCTCTTGCAATTAAATTATATATATATATATTCATATATATATTCATATATATATATAGCGGGAGGTAGGATAGAGTTTAAGATGAGAACTGTCTAGATACCTTTATTCTCCTTGTTTCAACAATATTTCAAATGTTTCCAAAAGGCATTGTACTTTTTTGCTAAAGAGCTATACATAAAAACTGCCATGAAATACATCACACTATTTTTAAAAAATGCAGATTTAGGAAAAGGAGACAATTTCAAAAATTAAATCAATCTTCTGGAAACGAACCCTCCGAGTGTGGTTCCAGTCTCAATTTTAGGGCAAAAACATAACTAGTTTTCAGCTCAGTTCCTTTCGCCTTAAATTTTTTTTGTTTTTTAATTTTATTTTTCTTAGTAATAACTGGAATGTTCTATGGTTTGGATTTTGAATACCATATCATAATTATAACAGACTATAATTTAAGGATTCACCTTAGGCCTTCACAAATAGAAGCATATCTACTTTTTCACATTTCATTTTTCTGCCAGGTTACATTTTATAAGCTCTGTTGACAGGAAACCACTCAATTACAGAAATCTTGTATTGGTTTTTATTCCCAATTACATTATCTAAAACTTCTCTCAAACGAAAAAATTGGAAGTCAGATAATATGCTGGAAAGGAACTATTTAACAAAAATAGTCATTCTGTCAAGCTGTAGCTGTAGAGGAAGAGCAACAAAATTGTGGAATAAAAAGGAAAGGAGGTTAGCCCATCTATTTGGTATGTCATTTTTCACTTAGCAGTAGCAAATAAATGGCAGTGGCATTGTAAGAAATTTCAGTTTTGTTAATGCTTTCAAAGCCTCAGCACTTTAAAGTGACGATCAGTATTATTCAAAAGCCCAGGACTCATAAGCACTTCTGAGGACACACCCTAATATTCCTTCCTTCTAGGTTTAAACCATCACAAAGGAGGAAGTTTTGAATCAGAGTTTATGCTTTGCCACCTGACAAGGCTGTTAGAAGTCTGAACCTCTAACCTATTGTTATTTCCAAATATTGGCCTGCCATTCCACCAGAATACATACAGAGCCCCAGAGCAGCAGGCCACCAGCTTTATATTGTCATTTTAACACATTCTGCACATAGCCAGAAGTTAAAACTCCACAGCATACCTCATTCTCACAAAAGTTATAAATTTCTTTCAATAAAAGCTGCAGCTTCTTAGTCTGGTTATTATAGCTTCAGACAGCTCTTATACCAACTCCTAATGATACCAAGGGTCTGAATAACAGAAAAAAACTAGTATTTTAAGGGAGTCTGTTTATACACTTCATTAAGGAGCCAAATCTCAACAAAATACTCAATGTTACGGGACCAGTCAAAACATAACTTGCATAGAGAGGAAATAAGTTCACATTTTGAAATACTATAGATTGCGAAGTAGTCTCCAGAACGCAAATATTCATTTTAAAAAACACTTCTGCTTTCAGGGCATAGAGAAAATATTTGATTATATCAAATGTCACAGCACCAACTAATAGGTTTAGTGGCTCGATGGGACAGCATTAAAACAAGTTTCTATCACTTATGCCTTGTCTGATTAAAAGAAAATCAAACTCTATTCACAAAGAACAAATACTCCCAAAACTTGTAGCCAAATCACCTAAGAGCAAAAGACCCAAACAAAACAGCTGGCTAAGAGTTCTGATAGCCTAAATCCTGGGTGCAAATTGTCAACATCTTATTCTCAAATGCAGAGAATTATTCAGGTCTGACACATCGCTTAGGCAGAGGGAGTTAGTGAAACCGAGTCTGAGCGTTCACATGAACAAAATTTATCAGACCCAAGGATTCCAGCTATGTAGCAGTCTCAGCAGACTAAAACATAATTTACTCTTTCTACAGTATAAAGTTTCAGGCCCTCAGATTTCTTATTCCAAAGGACATAGAGAAATGTAATTTGATCAGGCCACATTAAAAACTTATTAAAGGAAATGGAAAGGTAGGGACAGAAATGTTTGTAAACGTTTTAATGATGTGAACTCTTCCCTTGGTGCACTCTAACTTCTAGAAGGTTTTATGAAAGTGACAGTGCCAGAGACTCCTAGCAAGCCTAGAGAACTAAGTTCTTCAAGTTTTGCTGATGAAGACTAATTTCTGATTCACCCAAGAGAGTTAAGATAAACATTTTTAAAAACTTACAGATACATCCCATTCCAAGAAACTATGATAGACACAAAACCTATTGCTTACAAAATATCCAAAGTAGGGAGTGATTGCTAATATTAGTTACAAAAGATTTCCACTCCCTAAAGTGATTCACTTGGGCATTTGCTGAAACAGAATTTGAATTACAAAATTTTTATTAATACATTTTCCAGGAAATATCTAGTTCAAAATTTGAGCCCACCTGTGTCTAGATTCGGTATGTTAAAGGAAAGAAGTAAAATGCATGTGCATGAAGAAAGAGTCAAATCAAATGACAAAAATCACCATATAATACAGGCTAATAAATGAAGAAATCAAGAGACAGTTTCATTAATTAATATATTTTCTGCATTATAGTTAACATATGTACTTTCTTTGTGTCACCTTATTTTCCGTTACGTATTGATATTTTGTTATATTCAGACATGAGTACATTTCAACAGTCTTTTGCAATAAATATCATAAAATAATAGAGATTCGCATAATAAATATTCTTTACAATAAAAAAGTTTAACAGACTTTTGTCTTAAAAATAGTCAGAATTCAACTTTGTGATTTATACATAAAACATACAAAAAGCACCACAATTTGTGGTTAAGGCAATGAAAACACAGAAAAGATTAGAACTACTCAGCTGTTAACTAACCAAGGGACCAAAAGGACCATTAAGGAGCCCAGATCACTTGAGGCAGCATAGTTCTGTGACACCTATAGATTGATCAGCTATAAATATCAACTTCAGTTAGCCAAGTGCCCTCACTGACAAGAGAAATTTGGTGAAAAGCGTGGGGTGTGGAAGGAAGGTAGTTGAATCCTTCACAAATATGAAAGCTAGAATAGGGATGAGCAAGATACAACCAATATATCTCCAATGTGAAGATTTACAATGTAAAGCAAACCTAAAATTACATAGAAAAACAAAAATACCTGGCATCTCTAGAATAAGATAATGCCAAAACAGAGGAGAGAGAGTTTTGAGGGGTAAAAGGAGAGGGCAGTGGTTAAAGGAAAGTTTTTATGTTATAACAAAAATATATCCCCCCATGCTACTTAAGGGTCCAATGCTATGAAGATAGCCCTAGTTGGAGACAGACTTAATACACAGCTTATTTAAGCAATTAAACGGTGGCTTCTTTTAAACCCAATTTCCCTGCTCCCAGAGCTCCCAATCAAACACAGCTCTAAATCACTGTGGTCTGGGTGTGTGTGTGTGGGTATGCTCATGTGTACAACTTTGGAAAGTTGCTTGCAGAACAAAAAGGTTACACAAAAGCCCACTGGCTCTCACTCAATACCCTCTCGAGCGGATGGCAGAGGCTCTTGTCATAAGTGGGAGCCAGGTGCAGTTTCACAGTCCGCTATTACTGAAGATCATCCATTAGAGAAGAGCAAAATCCATTGAGTCAAACCTTGGGAACAGGGAAGAGAAGGCAGGAAACAGGGGAAAATTGTAAAGAAAATAAAATCAGTATCTAATAGAATCTTTGTTAACAGCCACAGCTTGAAAGCTAGAAGTTCAGGAGGTCCAACCCACCTCCAAAAATCATGATGGTTTACCCTGACCCCGCGAGGGGCAGCTCTCCAGCTTACAATAGACAGTGTTGGAGTTCTTACATCTGCACCCTGGGCGATGGATCCAGTCGTAACACCCCCTGCACAGCTTCAGGCATCCCTTGGCAGGAGGATAACAGAGTAAGCAAGGTAAAAAGAGAGACATGGCTCCCATACATAGGTACCTAGAGCAGCAGTGTGACTGTGAACAGGAGCAAGGATTATCCGAGTAAGAATCCCCTTCATCGTCATTGGAGCAGTGGTAGAAGATGCCCTTGACCAGGCACATGCAGGTTCCATATTCCACCATGCTCTCAGCAGAGCAAAGGCACTGCCGGTTACAGGCCAAACAGGATGGCAGGGTCCTGGGAGCTGTGCATTCTCCACACTTGCACTTCCCACACTGTTCACAAATGAACTTGTGCTGGGTCAGGTCCTCTTTCAAAGAACCCTTCAAGTCATCCACAATCAGTTGCTTGGGCTGGGTCCGGATTGCCCTTTCAGACCTGTGACTGGGGACTGGTCTGGTTGGTGGTGACCTTCCTAACAGCCCCTGCTCAGAAGAGGCACTGCTGTTGCTCCCAGAACTGGCGGCACTTCCAGTGCTGGTGGATCTGCTCAAAATGGGGCCTCTGGCATTACTCGACAGTCCTGCATGTCCCAGGTGGCTTGTAGGTCTATGCTCATAGTTATTATTCACATTAATTGGTATGATTTCATGAGTCCTTTCATGCTTTTCTTGTCGTGGTGCTGTTCGAGGAGCGGGTCTTTTCACCACTGACGGCCCTTCTGTGTATTCATTGCTGCCTCTGATGGCCTTGATCTGGTCTAAGGACAAAATAGCAGCAGGCTGAATCTCTCTCTCATAGTCTAACCTCTGCCGGCTATCCAAAGCAGGCTGCTGGATCACAGCTAATGAACTGCCACTGCCATGTTGATTTGGGGGATCCATGTGTAGTGATCTCGAATTCTGGCAATCAGTGGAAACCTGGCATGCATCTGAAATCCTAAAAGGAAATCAAAGATGAAAAAAACAGAAAGAGAGACAAAATAAATGACAGGAAGCACGTTTTGGGGGGAAAAATCCTGTCAAGTCACAAATTGCCTAAACCACCTGGTAATGATCTCCTTCATCAGCGGATTACAATGATGCCGGGCTCCTGGCCAGAGTCCAATTCCAAGAGAGGCTGAGGACCACATCACAGAAGAAGAATGTAAGCAAGAGACCCCATGCCATAAAAATTAGGAGTTTTTTCAACTTCTAAAAAGCAGAATCAAGAAGTAATGCCTTCCTGTTTGTGAATCTAACGAACAATTAAAATGGAGTATGCCCTGGTAGGGCATATTGAGCATGAGTACTGGAATAGCTCTCATCTAAAGAGAGCTCAGTATCAGTTTATCGGTGTTGTCCATAAAGGAAAAGATCCACTTTTAAAAAATTAAGAATGGTTTTGGTGCTGTTGCCTTTGTGTTATCTGTTTGCTGTTATAAGAATTAGATTAATGATGAGGAAATAAGTCAGGGTATACTTCATGCATCAAAAAAAAAATTCCACGATATTCCAAAGTAAAGTGGAATCTCAAAACCGGTCATTTTCAGTAGAAACTAGGATTTTAAAGATAGCCCATTATCAATCTACAAGATGCAGAAATGAATACAGACAAATACAACTGTTCCTGGTATCTAATAGCCAGTAAAGCACAAGCACAAAACTCAATGCACAGTTCTGTGAATGTGAGAGTATTCACATTGGAAATCATGAAAGGGTTTTTTAAAGTTTAAATAAGGGTTCAATCACATAACGAGATGACATTCACGGACAAATAAGTGTTGGCCTTTAAATCAGTGGGGGGAAATTCTGGCCATTTCAATTATCTCTATTTCCTCGAATTTAAAAATCTGCATTTACATGACACATCTTGATTTTCAAAAGTACTGCCAACTCTGAATCAATGTGCTTCTTGTAATAAAATAAGTACAGTAATATCCTGATAAAAAGAAGCATTTGTCTTTCCATACCAACAGTAAATTATTTCTAACATAATGTATTCTTCGTAAAACAAAATACCAAACAAGTTCCCGTTTTCAGTCAATGGTAAACTGGAATATTTTTCACACAAATTCCTTCCAAAGATTAGATCCAGTTCAAGAATGAAAAGAAAAAAACGCCAATCCTCCACTACCACCTTGAGCTAAAAAACTCCAGCTTAAGGAATAAAGCAGAAAGAAGACCGTTTCCTCTATTAACTACACTGAAAGTCCCTAGTGTCTTATATGTCAACTTCTTGGAGTTCCCCTCCCTCATTCTCCCAACTCAGATCTCCCAAATTTCTACTGTATTCTACCTTCTCTGCACAGGATGAGGGGAAACACATTCATAACCTGCTGGGTTTAGCCCTGGAGTCCTAAGGACTGTTAAAAATATTCCATCGTTACTCTGCACAGTATCACCCCCGCGCCACCCCCCGCAAAGAGGATCTGTAAGTCCTAAAGATTCCACCCGAAAGAAAAAACCGTGGAGAAGGATTCGCAGGGTGTAGCAAAAACAGCAGGCACAACTTTAATCGGAGTTGGAAGTGAGAGCTGTAACAAAGTGCATGCTGGCTGGTAAACTCGATGACCAGATCAAAAGAAAAAGCAAAGAAAATGAGCCACCTCTGATCCGAAGCAAAGCCCCTTTTCACGCAGTGACAGTCCTCGAGCTCTCCCCAGACACGCTCACCCGCTCTCGACAAACTCTCTTCCCCCAGAAAACACGAATCCAATACCTTTTCGGACAATCCCATCACATCCTAAGGACCACCGAGGACTTCCAGAACATTTGTGAGTATCCCACCAAGGTTTCCTACAACCGTGAAGAGCCCTCGGAGCTAACGCAGGCGCCAAAGGAAGCCCCGGGCAGGGAAGGTGATGAGTACCTATCTGTCTCTACTCTAAAGAGGCCGGTCCCTGGAGCGCGGGGGGCGGCGGGCCGGGCCGGGGCGCCGAGCCGCGCCGCCACATCGCCCGCTCCGACGGCGGCGCTGCGCCCTCTGCGAGCCGCGCGGGGAGCGGCGGGGAATAAAGAGTGACGGAGAGGAAGGAAAAGGAAAAAGTTATGAATGAAAACAAGCTCGCCCGCTCTGCCTCTCGCGGGCGGGCGGGCGGAGGGGAGGAGGCTGAGGTTACCATGACCTCAGGAGGGCGGACTTCCCCGTTAAAGCGGCAGTGCCTCGCCGCTGGCCGGGCCGCCGCTCTCCAACGGGGAGAGCGCTGCAGCCGCTGGGGCGCCCACTCGTCCTGGGGCGCCCCGCACACACACACGTGCACACGCGCGCGCACACACACTCTCACACGCGCGCGCGCGCGCGCACAAGGCCCCTCCCAGCCCCCGGCCGCGGGAGACTCCTCCACTAAGAGCCCGCTTTTGGCACCAGCCGACAAGCTCCTCGGGGCCCTCCCGGAAACACCCCCAAACCTCCCTGGTCTACCTTTCGCGTGGAGGGGTCCTCCGGGAGGACAACCTGCGCCCCGGATCCCCCGCTCCGGGCAGCTGGGGACCCTGCCTCGCCGCGGCCCCAGCCCCGAGCGCCCCGGGCCGAGGGGGTCGCCCCTTCCCTCCCCTCCCCGCACCTGCCGCCCCCCCGGCGGGCCCGGGCGGCCCCGACACTCACCTAGGCCGAAGCGGGGGCGCGGGGCCGAGCCGTGCCACCCGGCCCAGGTGCCGGTGCGGGCGGCGGCGTGCACGAGCCGCATCAACCGCGGCGGGGAGGACGAGGAGGCATCGCCGAGCTGCGGCGAGTCGGCCCGCGGGCAGGGGCGCTCGGCACGGCCCCCTTCCGGCGGCGGCGGCCGCTGCTCCGCAGCCCGCTCACGGCTCGTGGGGGCCGCGCGGCTCGGGCTGCTCCACCGCCGGGCCTTCCTCCCGCAGCCCGTCCGAGGACCAGGACACAGAAGCCCCCTCGGGAGGGCCCTCCGAGCCTCTCGGGAAAGCGAGCGGGGCGCGGCGGCGAGAGGAGTGCTGACGGCCGCCGGCGGGCGCGCTGGGCTCGGACGGGAGGCGTCCCGGGGACCGCTCGCTGGTCGCGGGCAAGGACGGAGGGCGGCCGCCTGCCCCGCGAAAAATCCACGGCGCGGCCGTTCGAGACTCGCGGCGCCCGGGCCGGGGCTCGAACCCGTGTCCGGGGGCGGGTCCCGGAGCGGCGCAGGCCCCGGCGGGCCGGGAGCTCACGCCTGCGAGGCCGAGGCCGCCGCTCCCCCGGGGTTGGGGGTGGGATTTTTGACCCGCTGTTTTAGGGGTGGTGGTGAAAGGAGCGAGGTTTGGGGGTGCGTCTCAGAGGCAGAGGCGGGGCGTCGTCGCTGGGCCCCCGCGCAGGTCGAGGCACCTTCCCGATCCCGCACGCTGGGCCGGTTGGGGGCGCGGCGTCCCCGGGAACTCTGGTCCTGGCGGTCAGCCCCTCCTGGGCAGCGCGCGCTCCCAGGGCTCCGACCCTCCGGGTCCACGGCCGAAGTGGCTGCTACAGACGGTTAGAGAGAAAAACACGTTCATTTCCCTTTCTCTCCGGGGGCTTGGACGCGTAGCGCGCTCGCTCGCTCCGGCGGAGAGGGGAGCAGGGCGGGCCACTCGCCAGCTCGCCCGCTGCCCGCAGCCCGCTGCCATGTGCTGGCTGTTGCTGCTCCCCGTGATTGACAGGCCAGCGCACAGTCGGCGTGTCAGCAGCGAACCAAAGTAACATGCAGTCTTGCACGTTTTTGCCGAAGTGCTTTTGCCCCCTTGGAATGCCTAGGAGTTCAAACAACGTTCAAGCAACGCCTCTGCACATTGGAAATCAATACACAGAGACGGGAAATTCAGGTTTTAAACAATTGCTTCGCTCGGGACTCGGTCGCCAACAATGCCTAAACAAACATTCATTTGGTCCACACACCGAGCCCCTCTTCGGCATAAACCACCCTGTTTTTCACACATCCGACCGTTTCAGATTTTAAACTTGTTACTGTTCGGAAAAGTGAAAAAAAAAAAGGAAAGGAACCTGCTTTTTCTTTTAGCGGTAGCATTTACTTTAAAAGCATTCGTTTTAGCAGTGGGAATGCTCCTGGTAATTTGAAATGCAACCAGTAATCTTAGTTCTAAAGCGAGTTCAAAGGAATGTTCAGTTCCTTGCACAAGCCAACATTTCTCACCTAATCTTTCCTAAAATGTCTATGGAAGGAAAGGAAGGAAACGGTTCTTACCTAACGCAAAGATTGGAAATTGCTTTTCAGGCACATTTACAGCGACTGTAGCTGTTCCTTATCCAAGGCAGGGAGCTCTGTCTGCTGCTATCACTCTGCAAACCACTGCGTGCCTTACAGAGCGATCCCACTCTGTCTCCGCAGAATTTCTGCTCCTAGCCTCCACCTCCACCTCCACTCAGGGACACGCCTCCAGTGATATCATGTGTCAATCACATGGACTGCCTGAAAACCTGGAACAGGATTTCCCCAACAGTCGTTTCCTCTTTCGTTTATGTGTACCAACTTGGAAATGTTGCCGTGTACACTCTTTGTAATAAACATCCTCCAAAAATTTGAGATTGCTCTAGAAACCCTGCAAATGCAGCTGAAGAATAGCTTTAAGTTTAGCTATCAATCTTTAGTTATCCATTTCAGTACAAGAGTTGGTGGACTCAGCTCTTAAAGTTGAATTAGAAAATAATTTTAAAGAATAAAAGAAGATTTTTAAAAAGTGGTATGCCAAGCTATCACATGATCAGCTAGAGAGGAAATGTATATTCATGTAAAAAACATGATGACAGAACATTACAGTTCCTATTTAAAGCAAGTTCAGAAAATGCGAAATCTGGAAGTTCAAAAGGTGGCACCTTTATTGCAAATGTCGTGTAACATCGTGTCGTAAAGGTGAAATTTCCTGCTGGAGATATTTAAATAATTGCTCTATCTAGGTTTGTGATATAATTTCCCCAAAATAAAATGAAAAAAATCCCAAGTTCCTGCAATTTTGTAATGTATTTGTATAATTTTGCAAAAAAGCACCCAACCAGTTTACTTTTTAAATCATCTAAAAGGCAATTAATTAAAATGGAAATAATTTACCAAGAAGTCTCGTAATTCTTAAGTGATATATAATGCATCGCTGAAAAAGAAAAGCATTTTAATCAGTAGGAAGCTGGCTTTTTGTGTCCTTGCAAACTATGGGATTTTAGACGTTTATTATCAAAATCTTGTACTTTCATCCTGCAATGAGGATAATTCTATGCGAACTTTAAGTTTCCACAGAGACTTTTAAGATACCTAAAACCCAAAAACATGGTAAATGGAAAGGAAACATTTTTTCCGGGTACTAGCAGAAGTAGCTTATAGTCTTTTGCACAATAAAGCAAACAAAACTCCAGAATCTAAGTCAAATATAAATTTGAGTATGGAAATTTTCAGTTCAAAGTAATTATTTTTAATCTCCTTCTTTACATGTGCAAGTGATTCTGTTGAAACTTTTTTTCTATACTAGGCTTTCAAATGGTTGAGCACTTTAGAAATTTTAAGTCGTATTTGGAATTAGATCTGAGGAGCCTAGGGCATTAAGACCATCACAACAAGAAGAAAGCATCCCTAGAAAATAACGTAGAACAGGAATGAAGACAAGAAGCTACATATCACTCAATATTATAAATTGTATTAAAACAGGCTGTTTAAAACCATAAACTCAACTTTATGGTACATGTTTTCTGGTTTTTCCATAGATCTCTTTATATTTGGGGATGTAATGAACTTTAACCAATGATGGATCGGTTTTTTGACCATTATTAATGGATTTGGAATAGTGAAATCAGAAACGGAAGATCACATCAGAGTCTCTTATTTGGTTCTTCAAAATTGTCTTCTCAGCTATCACAATTTGGGGATGAGAGGTCAGATCACCAATGTGATAAAACCAGGAGAGGGAGCACTGAACATTCCACTCCCGTAAATCTTACAAAAATATATTTGAAAGATTTCTATCACAAATAAACATCAAACTATTTCAATCACAGATATATTAAATTATAATTTGCATGAGATTATTTTTAAATTACAACAATAAATAAAACCCGTGAAATTTTACCTATAACACCATCATCATGGGTCATGTTCTATTTAGAAATCAAATATTATGCTGCACCAAGTTGACCAATGACCCTTTAACACCATTTAGGACTAAAATACATCAGTACGTTTTCCTCTAAATGTTACATTACAAATAAATATAGTTATAGCCTTGCCACCCTGGATCTAGACAGACTTCATAAAACTTCCCTCTCCTTTTGATTGCCTGCAACTGTAAGACTTTGTACAAATTCTAAATTTTTAGCTTAAAATAGACATTGTTCTTTACTTAGTAAGTTTAATTACAGTGTGCCTTGGCTAGAAATGGATAGCTGGAGTTTGAAATTTTCCTGAAAAGGAAAAACAATGTAAATATCCATGGGAAAATCTTACAATAATTTTCAGTTTACTATATTAAGATATGTCTAAAAGAATATAGTGGAATGGAAAGTGAGCCCTGACTGTTCTTCATTTTCATGTGAAAACAAGGTTTGCCATCTCTTCTGCTGATTTGATTTTTGAAAAAAAGATAAACTCAAATGAAAAAAATCTGGTAACTCCTCACAACTGCTAGTGATTTTTTTCCACAAGTGTAGTACTGAGAGGCTTAACTTATTCATTTATCTACTTTATTTGCCAAAATAGCAGAACCATAATGTGTTCCAAGCTCTTGAAAAAATAATACCTTATT